TCACAGCTGCTGCAGGCACACAACTCCTATTACTTATTAACCTGATAACTATCATTAAGGGGAATAATTAGCGACTAATGAGGCATCCGTGCACTAAACTATTAAGCAATAAACAGCTTCACACATGAAAAGACCGACTCTGAACAAACTTGCTGTGACTGTGGATGTCTGCCTCTGTGGGACTCTTTATCTGCTGCAGCTGAAAACAAAACTCCTCCTAAGGTTCAATTCAAATTCTCCCAGCTCAAAAAAAGCCCAAGGTCGACAACGGCAACAACAGGAGGTGTTTCCGTCCAATGGGACTTGGATTTGTTTGGTGACTGGAGCTCGTCGAGGTGGACGAACGTCCTTGGCTAAACTCCATTTTCAGTGTCTGAATAGACGGTACGAACAGTGAGCTCTGATAAAAGCCAAGCAGTTAAGACTCTGACTGGATTGTAAGTCTCGAGAGACACTTGGGATTTATATGTTCTCTGTGCTGCTGTAACTGCGGATAATAAGGAAAATATTCTGTATTGCAGATCCCTTTAATCTATATTCAATGCATTTTTGGAACAGTCCAAAACTTTTCCTTTTTTGTCAGCAGCAGCAGATTGAAAAAGAGTCTGTTGCTCTGGAGAACAGAAGGAGGATGCCAACATGTCCCAGACCTGCTGTCTGCCTGAAGGAAGCCAGAGGCATGTTACTGTTTACTGCAGGGGACAATCATCAGCTTATTATTAATTCAATTCAAACAGAATTGGCTTAACAGTAACACGAACATGAATACAGTATTCAGATTGATATATACAAAGTGTTTACAGCTTATCCTGTGGGTGGAAGCATTCGTTATGAAATCAAACTCAGTTGTAAGCTCATAGGTTATGCTTTATTTATATGTAAATCGTCTAATCATAGTCAGTGTTTACTTATTTTTAGAGAAACAAAATGCCACTGTGTTCAGTAAGGTGACGTTACATAAGTACGGTAAAAAATGGAGAGCTTATGAGGAAACTAGTCTGTGAAAGTTTGTAAGCTTCTGATATGGTCAGAAGTCTTTT